AGACAGACAAAAATTCTAAAAACTATAGATTCGGCCTCTGTATCGATAATAATGTCTATATCAATAAGATTTTCCAAAAAATATTAAATGTACAGATTCGACTAAGTTAGAATTTTATTATATGTATAGATTAAGTACTTGATCTCGATCAGACGTTTTTCGGTATCGGATACAATATGCTGTTTTTTTACATACTTCAAAAAGGTGGAAATGCACAATTTGGTGCCTTTGGGTATTATTTTGTAATTTTATTATATTTTTGCCAATAGTATAGCGATTGTTAATTATAATTTTTCCCTTTATTATATCTTCTATATTATATCTTCTAGATTCATGTATATTAAAAAGAATTGCCTCGGAGGTCCTGGGTTCGAGGCCCGGATCGCGACAAGTTTAGTTATTGAGTCTATATATGGATTTAGTAAGCCTCAGTTACAGCCCGGAGTTGGGAAGTTGGCGGTGTTTCTCCCCCGTGCCCCGGAAAGCACGTGTCGCATCGGTCCTGCGCCTTAACTCTCTCTGGTCGTGTCTCGTGTCGTCCCACCGGAGTATGAGAGTGGCAGGAGTAGAGAGTGACAGGAATAGAGAGTATTTTATATCCTAACATAATATAAATTTAACGATTTTTTAGAGATGTGAAAAAGAAAAAGTATTAAGAAAATCTGAAAATATAATAAACAACAAACCAACACAACATTTATGTATATATATATATATATGTGTGTGTGTTTAATTACATTACCTGTATTCATATTTTAGCCCGAATCCGAGACGGTTAATTTGCATATATGTATATGCATGTATGTACAATGTAAATATGTATATTTACTCATCAACATTGTTGTTTTTAATTAAAATAAATAAACTGTTTTTTAATCTATTTTATTTTAGACTTATTTTGTTACGAGTTCGACTCCCGCTGGGGGCATTCATTGTGTGATAAGCATGAATGTTTGTACTCCAGTCATGGGTGTTTATATTTATAACATGTATGTATTCAAAGTAATATATGTGTAGTGTATCAACTATCTGGTATCCATAACACAAGCCTCGTAGCTTACCATGGAACTAGATGGTGCTGTGTGTTAATGTCGCAACATATTTATTTACATATTTATACTCACTCTTATACACTCATTCACATAACAAAATCGTAATTGTTATTTTTCAAAGTTAACTTTATATAATCATACAGTAGTTGACCCTGTGTAGAATAGAAGAGCTAATTGTCATCGAGGCCAGTAGGTTGTAAAGGAGTTAATTTAATAAAATCACAAACACTCTTATAGCTTATTATGGATAAGTCATATATTTTAATACAATTTTACATAAATAAAATAAAAATAATAAATAAATATAAATAATGTAAATAAATATATAACTGATGATGTACGTTTGAAAAACTAATTGTTTTTCATAATTATAAGCCATATTATCATATAAAGTAAAACAATATATATCTACATATTATTATTATAAAATTCTGAGTCAAATCTGTACATTAAATATTTTTTGGAAAATCTTATTGAAGTATTAAAATGGACATTATTATCGATACAGAGGCCGAATCTGTAGTTTTTAGAATTTTTATCAGTCTGTCGGTCTGTCTGGGAACGCATCACGAGGAACCACGGGGCAGACTTTGACGAAATTTGGTATGATTATACCTATAGGATATTATTAACATATAGGATACGCCTTACTGCGGGAAAAAGTTTCATTTCTTAGAAATCTATACCAATCGTCAAAATGTAATGGACGAACCCGAGCGGAGCGTGAGTGAGTCTCCAGTATCTTTATATGAAGAAAAACGTAAGGTTTTCCCAAGGTAATCGCTTGAGAACTAAAAACTATAAGATCGAAATAGATTTTAAGGAGCACTTTGAATTACTTATACAATTTTCGACCCCTTAAATACAATTCAAGCCATTTTTATTGCAATAAGTAACAGAAATCATAGTTCGACAAATATTCTTACCATAAAAATGTATGTACATTCAAGCTTAACTCTGTTAGTTTTCGATTGATAGGATTAAACGCACCCGTACAATCTGTGAAACTGATGGCTATACAGTGTTTATGATATAAAATCGTTCAATGGATAATAGTTTTTATTACAAAGGGTTTAAGACGAGAATGGGATAAGGTATATCATACGTTAGGTCACCAGTTAAGTCTAGGCAGGTGTTACGTGGCGAAACCCGGCAAGTCACTTGCTTGCACCGTTTCACTATTTAACAACTAACTCGTGTACAGAATTTATAAAAGATTGCACATTCGTTTTTAACATATATGTTAATTTAAATATTTTATGAATATCCTTACTAATAGGTATTGTAAATATGAAAGTTTGTTTGTTTGATACATTTACAAGGCTAAACGGCTGAACCGATTTAAATGAAAATGCTATAGAGATAGTTTGAGACCTTGGGAAGGATAAAGAAGTTTTTAACCCGGAAATCATCCCTTAAGGGGGTGAAAAGAGGGGTGAAAGGTTATATGAGGAATTATTTCTAAAGTAAGGTATATAAAACTCATCATACTATGTATATACTAATATTATTCTATCTATTTCATACTAACCGTTAAAACGTACCTATTGATGAACCCTAGCGAAGAAAGGGCGAGCTGCTAGTTTCTAATAAATTTGTTAATTTAAATATTTTCTATGTAGTATTACAACACTACATCTTGAGATGCGGAGCATTATAATAGGTTATGTTTTACATGTGGTTTGATATGTTTTGGCTTAGTCTATAAACAAATTCAATATATAAGTTAAAGTATATAAAATAATATATAGGTAATAATAAATCATGCTAAATATAAGTATATAGTAATACAAACAGTCGATCTGTTCATACATATTCATGCTTGTACGCGTTAACCAATCAACATAAAATTTTAGTAAAGGATTATTGTAAAAAAAATTATAAACAAGTTTTTACCAAACAAACATATGTATATGTGTAACTATATGGGCTCACGAATAAATGCGTATTTTTAATAATAAAATACAATTAGTGCAAAAATGTTATCTTCTATACAATAAATAAAATTGAAATGCTTGTATTTAATATCGAAATAACAACTTTTTACTAAATGCATATGAAATTATATATGGAACTTATAAGAAAAACAGTTTTTATTTAATTTTACAGATTTTTTAAAAATTTTGTCGTCTGTCTATCTGTCTGTCTGCCTGTATGTTCCGGCCAATCTCCGAAACCACTGGACCGATTTTGACGGGACTTTAACTGGCAGATAGTTAATATTATAAGGAGTAACTTAGGCTACTTTTATTTTAGAAAAAGAGGGTTCCGCTCAAAGAAATTAAAAGCAACTTAGGGACGCACCCGAGCGTGGCGAGGCTAAGTCGCTAGTGTACAATAATGTTAATCCGATCAGTTCATATAAGGGGGCTTAGACAAGATGTCAGTCTATATTTGAAGAATAGAAATACTAGCACAACTCGCGGGTTCGTTCGCAATAAAACTACAAAAAAAAAAGCTCTAAAAAGGTACTTTCATACAAACTTTCGTTTCGTTATGTTATGAAATAATTTGTTAAATAATATGTTATTTCCATATATTTTTAGGCTTATATTTTTCATTTATATACCCCATGAAATATCATTTTTGACTCAATCAATAGCTCAAACTAAGTAGCGTATACAAAATATATTATATGTAAATATAAATAAATAAAATTATGTTGTGACATTAACACCCAGCACCATCTAGTTCCATGGTAAGCTACGAGGCTTGTGTTATGGATACCAGGTAGTTGATACACTATACGTTATAGCTTTAAATATGAACATATTATAAATATAAACACCCATGACTGAAGTACAAACATTCGTCCTCATCACACAAATGAATCCCTCCAGCGGGACTCGTACCCGCGACCGCTGGCTCAGCAAGTAAGAGTCACTACACGTACACACTAAGCCAAACGTATCGTCAAAGTGTGTATATGTATACTATGCAACTAAAATATCTTCCTAAGAAATGAGAAAGAAAAATTTTATCATCTGTTTTCACTTATGGAAATCTGAATGAATATAAGAAAATAATTTTAGTAGTAAGTTGTAACATTTTAAAAATCTACACGAGTCTAAAAACATGAACGTCCAGACAATAACTCTATTCATTTATATATTTTCTTGATTTAATTTCATATATTCATAAAAGATAACATAAGAATTTCCAACACAATAAATATATTTAGCTAACATATAAATCTGTTACATAAAAATCTTGTTTTGTACCATTATAAAATACTGTATTATACTACATTGTTGAGACGTTCAAAGCAAAAAGCAACCAATTAAACCCTGATCTTTGGGAAATAGGCGATAAATTTGTCATAATACGCCTCGCCTCCAAACTTTTACGAATACGTCACAGATTTATTACTTCTTGATACATCGAATGAAGTCGATGAGATGAATACTGATGTTTACAGCCACAATTATTTACTTTTATAATGTGTTTAATGTTTTCTTGGGCGTGATTTTCTTTTTGATGCCCAACTCTTCCTAGTTACATCAAACGTTGTTGACGAATATTACGATCGTATTCCTTTCGGCTACAATGATGACATTATGAATACACTTCCGTCTGATAGCGAGATTTTGTTTATCAACTCTATAGATGTCACAGAAATGACCGTTAACAAAAAATAAAACGCTATCTAAATCAGTTGTTGAGTTCCACGCGAGTTATTTGCGTGAATTTAATAAATAATGGAAATAAAGGATTTTTTTCTTTCTTATTTATGCTAATGTGTTAAAATTTAAATATTTAGAATATTTTTTGTTTGTTTGTTATTTTACTAGTGACTTACTCCAGGTGTTACTTCAGGTCATAGTCTAACCTAATCTGATGTAAATTCATCCAAATCTATACGTTTTGAGGTGAAGGAGTAACAAACATACACACATATAAAAACAAACAAATTTTCGCATTATAATAGTAGTGTGTTACAATTTCTAGTTACTGGTGGGCAGTAGCGGAGCGGGCAACGTTGGCGCGGCAACTTCGCCAGACGGTGGGTCGAGCTCGGCACCCCCTCTATCACCTGGGGGATCGGGCGTCGCCAGTGGAGCCCTATCCCCGGGTGCCGGCAGCCACGCAAGCACGCCAGCCGCATCTTGCTGTGACACCCCTAGACCTATCATCACTGATCCAGTTTCTGGACAAACAGTCTGTTCCTGTCAATACGACGGCGCAAGACTGGCGCTAACGTCGTATCCAAGACTGTCGAGTGCAGCTGTAGGCGTCTACGGGGCTCCTTACCCATCCACGGACCAAAACCCATATCCTAGTATCGGAGTGGACAGTTCAGCCTTCTACTCACCTTTGGTAAGTTTTATGAATTACACATTTATGTTACTTTAATTTAATATATATCTTAAACTATATACTCTATTATGTATGAGCATATATACTAGCCATATTTCTAACAGCAAGCTGCCTTTCCAAAATCTGTGACCGTTGCCAGAAATAGAACAAATAGAGCCTGCAAATTGGTACGAATAGGCCGTTTGCCGTTGGGCCATATACAAAGCAAGGTTTATCGCTCTCCGCGATACTCGTTTAGTTCTCTCGTAGCGTGGCGTGCGAGCGTCCAACCGGTCTGTGGGCGCTGGAACAGAAAACCGCAGACACCTAGCAGGCCCCGCCGCCCTGTCACGAAACATTAATATTTAAACTTGAAAATAAATTCGAAAAGCGATGGCCATTATACCAATTACATCGACTCTCACCAGCGTCGGACGTCTGTGTTTTACAAAATCACATCGGTTGTTCAATTTTTTCGGTAGCATCGCGCTCTTTGTGTAATAAAATTTCTCTTTAGCTTCTTAAGGATCCGTCGGTTTGACACGTCGTACGCTGAAAGGGCGACAAATGAGCGGCTGCTCGACGCGGGGACTTTAATCCCCATAAGGGACGAAGTCTAAAAATCGTAATCCCCGTCTAAGGTTCTTTTTTCAATAATAAAAGTGCAATCGAAAAACTATTGTAGAGCCATTCGATGTTATTCGTTTTTATGTGATTTCAACTCGTGTCACGAAGCACATGTGAAATCCGCTAAGCCCTGAAAATCCTATCAAACGAAAAGATGATCCCATTTTTGTCAAGTGTTAAGGCGAAGCTCTTGGGTTTAATCTCCGACCGTTGAAACGTAGCGGAAGTTTTAAATGCTTTTTACGATTTAGTCCTCCACCGATTCGCTCCGAGATCGTTTCAAAGATAAACCCTTGATTATGACTAAAACGAGAGTTTGTTCAACTCAATAATTATCATATCACTAACGCGGTAGGTAATTGTGGATGCATCAAAAATCGCTGGCAGAGATTTCTATCTATCGTTGTATTTAACCAGATTTGAGTACCTAAACTCTGTGACCCTGTTCAGACTTGATAACAGGTGTTTAAACGTATGTATACTGTGATTGTGTGCGCCCATACCTAACTCACGACAAGCCGGTTCCGTGCGAGCGACAATTTAGCGAACAATGCCGACGCTCTGCCACAAATATACCGAGTCGCTTTCGTAAGTCCTCTCTCTGGTTTGGGGGAATTGGTACCTATTTATAGAAGCTTAGGATCGAGCTTACGTTGTGGTGTACGTCGATTTGTTAGTAAAAATATTCAACTGCCATTTTAGTACTGCGTCTACGGTGGCGCCGTCTGTCGATGTAACGGGTCAGCGCCATCTATTGTATATTGTACGCTACTTATAATCAATAAAAGAATTTTTTCCTGCTATTCACCATGTTGTGTTAGGAATTATTACCTGTGAAATTAGTGTGCTGGCTTAATAGAGACGTATTGGTATCACACTTTTTCATTGTGTCTAATATAGGTTTTTAGTAGTGTTATGTTATTATTGAAATTGCTCTTTTTATTTGTTTTTATATTGAATTTGTACTTTTTTAATATATTTTTGGGTTTTAATGTATGATAACTTAATAAATATTTACAGAAGTAATTTAGTTAGAAGAATGTGTTTTATAAACATATAAGAGAAAATGTTTTTGTAGGTACATAGTTGAAAAGAAGTAGGTAGTAAAAAGTAATAGCTAGGAGCTTAGTGAAACACGTAAAATTTGGCAGTGCTCTCATTGGCCGACGGGAATTACGGAACACGAATACAACTTGTTGGATTCTAGCTTATATTTTTTATATATTTAAGTACGAAAATATAAATTTCATACATGTATATAGATTATGTTTATTAAAAAACATACATTCAGACGAAAATAGAACCTCCTTTTAGGAAGTTGGTTGAAGATATAAAAATAAAATAATTTGAGTATTTTTATTTATACTTAGGTATACTTAAAACAAAGTTTTATTCAAGATTTTGTAAAAATAATGTTACGGTTGAAAAATGCATTGAAATGGAGTAATTAAAATAAAACTACATATTACGGTTGTTATAAAAATCATTACAAGTAATAAATTTAAAATTATTGTTTCACACACTGATCTATACATATAATAAAATCGTAACTAAGCCGAATCTGTACATTGAATATTTTTTGAAAAATGTTATTGAAATAGACTTTATTATCGATACAGAAGCCGAATGTTTTGTTTTTAGTATTTTTGTCTGTCTGTTTGTCTGTCTGTTACCGCATCACGGAAAAACCACTGGAGGGATTTTGATGAAATTTGGTATGATGATAGCTGGTAATCCGGGTCAACATATAGGATACTTTTTACCGCGGGAAAATATATCATTTTTGAAAAAAAAATACAAATCTTCAATGTAAGAGTATACTAATATGTAAAACCTAAGAATTTGGTTTTTGGTTATCTGAACGCGGGTGGAACCGCGGGTAATGCTAGTATGTAATAAAATCAATATGTAACGTTGACACAGTGACAATCTAAGTTCCTGGTAATAACGATCCCATAGAGCTTATAAGAGGGAGCTTTCGAGCTTAATGAAAATGTATATGCAAATACTCATTTAAAAGCCAGTAATAATAATCGCTGTAAATAAAATATAAGCGATACTAAATAAGACGGATATGGTATCCACATGGCGTATAAGCTCATTACTAACAAATAGCAAATACACATCTGCATCTCAAAATGTTTGAACGGAAGCGTATTATAGATTCATAATATTATAATAATTTAATCTTGCAAAGTACTGATGGCAAAAAAAATCCTAAATTGATCGTCCAATTTACCAGAAAGATATTTTTAAGTATAATTATGATGAAAACTGTCGAAATTTACTCAACAGGCTGTTTCTTGGAATAGATTTAGTTATAAGTTAGCTTTATCAATACTTTGACATGTCATTTTGTTTAAACTCAACATTTATGATAAAAAGTTCACAGTTAAGTCTTTCTGTACATAACTATGTTATCACATTTAAAACATAACCAAGAATGGACGAACGAACGAATTATTATTACAGTCAATCTATACATATTATAAAAAAATTCTAACCGGGTCCTATCTGTAAATTAAATTTTTTTTTGGAAAATCTTATTGAAATAGTTATTATTATTGGTACAGAGGCCGAACCTATAGTTTTTAGAATTTTAGTCCGTCTGTCTGTCTGGAAACGCTACACGAGAAAACCACTGGACAGATTTTGATGAAATTTGGTATGATGATAGCTGGTTATCCGGGTTATCTATGATTACCTTAAACATAATTAGGGTGGGTGAGTCACTAATCTAGTAAAACACACAACACTATAGAAATGAAAACGAATAAATGAAAATGAAGAAGCATTAAATCTAGAAATCTAAATTTCTCAATATATCGTAGAAAATATATAAAATATTAGAAATACTGTGTTGTTCTACGTATTCTGAAGGCGAATGTATGACATTATTATCCCTAAGAAACCCTCGTACCCGATGTCAGATTTAAAATAATAAGTCGCCGGCGGACGGCGGTCTGTGTCTAAAAGAAAAATCTTTATTTATATATCAAAGCTAATAATTGGGTTACTATTATTATCAATGTAAAAGTTTCTATGTATGTATGTGCGAATGTTTGTTACACTTTCGCGCTGAAACGGCTGGACCGATTTGGATGTAATTTAGTATATATGTATATAGGCTATTAGGCCTAGAGACAGTTTTTTTACGACCCCCGTCGTGATGAGGCGTCACAGGATCGCTTACGTACTCAACCACGACACCCCGACGGCAGGTCTGCCGAAACAGACCACGACAACTATTTTGCTACTCCAACAGTCCACTGTACTATCAGAGAAGTACCAGAAGCAACATAGCACACCGCCCACCGAAGTGGGCCGCCTCAGTGCGTTTGTTGGCTTCACAAACGTCATTGCCAGGCACTAATGAGATCGCCACTACGACAAGGTACGACGCACACACGAGGAGCTAGAGACATACCCGAGTGAAGCAGGGATAAATTCCTAGTTATATATAAAAAAATATAGATTGTATTAAACCCCACTACACTAAGATTTCCCGCGGGATATTAATCTATTCTATACAAACGAAAGGGTCACTACACTATAAAAGCACAAGATTCTAAAAGAAAGTCCCACCCAATTCCATTATCGCGTTTAAATAAAATTGATAACAGAAAAAACGTCCATCTGTTTAAATGTAAGAGGTTAGTCCTAATCTTAAGTCAACTTAAAGTTTAATTAACATTACTGAGGGCGAGGACGCTTGGATTCAAAGAAAGAAAATAATTAAAAAAAAAAGGAGTATTTGAATTGGAAATGGCTTCTAAGGTGTTAATTAGCTTATTAAGCCGTCTCATTCTGGGTGGTCGGCCCTCAATTAATCTGCATATTGACCTAATTATTGTATTTCAAAATTATAACTACATCTAAACATGTAATAAAACTAGAAAATTTACCTTGGTTTGGTCGGGGGCTTCCGTAGGTTTCTTTATAAATAAATATGTTGGAACATTAACACACAGCACCATCTAGTTCTGGTAAGCTGCGAGGCTTGTGTTATGGTTACCAGATAGCTGATACAGTCATGGCTGATTAAACTTTCTATCCAATATAATAAATTATATAAAAATCTTATTTGACGACACGTTTGGCTCTGTTTGTAGTGCTACTTGCTGAGCCAGCGGTCGCGGGTTCGAGTCCCTCTGGAGACATTCATTTGTGTGATGAGCATATGTTTATATTTATAATATGTATGTATTTAAAGTTATATATGTGTAGTGTATCAACTATCTGGTATCCATAACACAAGCCTCGTAGCTTACCATGGAACTAGATAGTGCTGTTTGTTATTGTCCCAACATATTTATTTATTTTATTTATTAGAACGCTAAAAACCCTGTATTATTCAAGAATATCTGTACGAGGCATCTATGACCCAGCGCCAA